AAAAAAAAAAAAGAAGAAGAAGAGTGATATATATTCACTGTGGAAAAAGAACTTTAAGACAGAAAAATATAAAAATGAAAATGAGGCCGGGTGCAGTGGCTTACGCCTGTAATCCTAGCACTTTGGGAGGCCGAAGGGCGTGGATCACCTGAGGTCAGGAGTCCAAGACCAGCCTGGCCATCATGGTGAAACCCCATCTTTAATAAAAATATTTTAAAAAGAAAAGAAAAACATATTTTTCCATACACAGACACACATTACACTTGATCTTAGCCAAAAGGCCAAGAAGCAATACAGACATACATTGTATTAACACTGTAGTGTCTTCCCTCAAAAATTTTTTTTCTTTTTTCTTTTTTTTTTCAGACAGAGTTTTGTTCTGTTGCCTAGGCTGGGGTACAGTAGCATAATCATCATTCACTGAAGCCTCAACATCCTGGGCTCAAGTGATCCTTCCACCTTAGCCTCTCAAATCTTTCTTCTATGCATATTTGTTGCATATCATGTAAGACTATACATCGTTTTGGTGTGACTTCTCTTTCTTTCCCCCATCCCTACTCCCCTCCTAACCATCCCTGTTGTTTTACTTTATTTACTTAGAGATGGGGTGTCACGCTGTCTCCCAGGCCAGGGTGTGGCAGCTTTATCACAGTTTACTACAGCCTCAAACTCCTGGGCCCAAGTGATGGATCCTCCCACATCAGTCTCAAATTATCAGGGACTACAGACACAAGCCACCACACCCAGCTAATTAAAAAAAAATTTTTTTATAGCCTGGGCAATATGGTGAGACCCTGTCTCTACAAAAAAAATTTTTTTACATTAGCCAGGCATGGTGACATGTAACTATAGTCACAGCTATGCAGGAGGGTGAGATGGTAACACTGCTTGAACCTAGGAGATCACAGCTGCATTGAGCTGTGTGTGTACCACTGCACTCCAGCCTGGACAACAGACAGAGACCCTGTCTCACAAAAAAATTTTTTTTTTTAGAAATGGGGTCTTGCTATGTTGTCCTGCCTAGTCTCAAACTTCTGGCCTCAAGTAATCCTCTCCCACTGGCCCCCTGAACTGCTGGGATTACAGGCATGAACCACTATGCCCTTGGGTACATTCTCTAATGTTATTAAAACTCTTCAAAAACATTTAAGAAATAGTTTGAGTAAAATAACATATGCTGATTATAAGCACTTTGTGGAAAAAAACTACCTACAGATAAACACTATTAAATATTCTGGTCATGGTCTCTTTCTCATGTGCAAATACACATATGTTTTTTGGGTTTTGTTTAAAACAAAATAGGGGTTTATTTATATGCTGATTCTTAAAATTTTATATATTGTGCCGGGTGTGGTGGCTCACGCCTGTAATCCCAGCACTTTTGGAGGCCGAGGTGGGTGGATCACTTGAGGTTGGGAGTTCGAGATCAGCCTGACCAACATGAAGAAACCCTACTAAAAATACAAAACTAGCCAGGTGTGGTGGTATATGCCTGTAATACCAGCTACTTGGGAGGCTGAGGCAGGAGAATTGCTTGAACCTGGGAGGTGGATGTTTCAGTGAGCCAAGATTGTGCTATTGCACTTGAGCCTGGGCAAGAAGAGCGAAACTCCATCTCAAAAAAAATAAAGAAAGAAAGAAACAAAGCCAAATATTTCTACTAGTGCAAGACAAGGAAAAAAATACTGCAAGCAGTTGTTATTGTTAATGGCTTGTGTTAGGAATTGGAGCTTCCTAGAAATGCTCTTTGAAAAAAATAATTTTTTAATATATTATAAACATTCTTCCATAATACTGTACATATATTTTAATATTTGTTAGATCTCATTTGTGAGATCTATACATTATCATAATTTATTTACCCATGTAACCTGCTGAGAGACAAGATTTTATTCAATTATATACTACTATAAATAATGTTACAGGCCAGGCATAGTGGCTCATATCTGTAATCTCAGCACTTTGGGGGCTGAGGCAGGTGGATCACGAGGTCAGGAGATCAAGATCATCATGGTCAACGTGGTGAAACGCTGTCTCTACTAAAAAGAAATACAATAATTAGCTGGGCGTGTTAGTGCACACCTGTAATCCCAGCTACTCAAGCGGCTGAGGCAGGAGAATTGCTTGAACCCAGGAGGCGAGGTTGCAGTGAGCCAAGATCATGCCACTGCCCTCCAGCCTGGATGGCAGAACAAGACTCTGTCTCAAATAATAATAATAATAATAGGCCGGGCGCGGTGGCTCAAGCCTGTAATCCCAGCACTTTGGGAGGCCGAGGCGGGTGGATCACGAGGTCAAGAGATCGAGACCATCCTGGTCAACATGGTGAAACCCCGTCTCTACTAAAAATACAAAAAATTAGCTGGGCATGGTGGCGCGTGCCTGTAATCCCAGCTACTCAGGAGGCTGAGGCAGGAGAATTGCCTGAACCCAGGAGGCGGAGGTTGCGGTGAGCCGAGATCGCGCCATTGCACTCCAGCCTGGGTAACAAGAGCGAAGCTCCGTCTCAAAAAATAAATAAATAAATAAATAAATTAAATTAAATTAAATTAAAAAAAAAAAGAAAATAATAATAATAATGTTACAATAAAATCCTGGTATGTAAATATTTGCCTGCATCACTAATTCCTTCAGATTCCTAGAAAAGGAGCACCAGGTCAAAAGATATTAAATTTTCAGCTTCATAATAACATGTTGCTAAGTTACCTTCTTGATAAGTTACATCAATTTATATTCCCCCATTAGAGCATGAGTGATTGAATCATTCTTCACTAAAAGCAACAGGCTCATGTAACATACCTGTGTAAATGAAATCTAGAAGTATGTGAAAGATTGAAGCTTCGATTCCTAGTATCGGTACAACATCTTTTGAAGACTCTTTCATTCCTCCAGTGAACAAAGCTGCAAAGTAAGGACTGCTGGCAGCCAAAACCAGCCGATGAGCTTTAAAAGTTTCCTTTCCAACTTGCAGCTGCACATCACAGAAATGCTGTCCACTTCTCATCTTATTGATTTGGGCCAAGATGAGTTGGGCATGTTTATCTGATGAAAAAGGACTATCGGTAGCCTTGGGATAGCCCTCATTGGCCATGATGATGATAGATTAATTAAAAGGACTATTGCCCATAATCTGTTACTACACTGAAAAACAAAATACAAAGAGATCAAGCAACAAATTTTTTTAACATGCTTTCTATTCATACATAAGAAACATTCTCTATACTTAAAACCTACTTAAGGACATAAAACAAACATAAAACAAATAAGGATTAAAGTGTGGTACTATCAATATTTCTAATATGGTTTTAGAGAACTAATAAGTAGGGGGCTAAAATAATTGGATAATGTTTCACACAAGAAATGGACCTACACTAGAAACTGAAAGATAAACAGTTAATATTAAGGTATGAGGAGAAAATATAAGCCCTTCTTGATGGAGTAAAAAAATAATAATAAAGCACAAAGACAGAAAGTTAACAAAGGACACATCACAGCCAATATGAACTTTCAAAAAGCAGCTGTGATCAGTCTAACTGCTTAAAATTCTTCAATGTGTACACTTCCTGTAGCACACAAAGCCCTTCAAGATCCTTGCTATAATTCAAGACTTTGTTCAAATATAACTTCCTCCAGGAACCTTTCCTTGTTCCTCTTCTGGAATTATGGAAATATGGTCCCAAATTCATCTGGGTTTGTTGCTTACCCTAAGCTTATTAGTTTTACATTCTTCAGTATAGTCTACCTTATCAGATACCCTACCACCCTACTCCTAGCATACACACACACAGTTTGAAAGCTCCTTGAAAGACAGCCCTTTAAGGGCTCTATCTTTCGTAGCTCTAGCACCAGTATATAACATATGTTAGGTTTCCAATGTTTGTGAAATGAATGAGAACAAAGAGAAATAACAATAGCTTAGGTTGGTTTTGTTTTTTTTTTTTTGAGACAGAGTCTCACTCTGTTGTCAGGCTGGAGTGCAGCGGCACCATCTCAGCTCACTGCAACCTCTGCCTCCTGGGTTCAAGCAATTCTCCTGCCTCAGCCCCCTGAGTTGCTGGGATTACAGGCGCTCACAACCATGCCCAGCTAATTTTTGTACTTCTAGTAGAGACAGGGTTTCACCATGTTGGCCAGAATGGTCTGGATCTCTTGATCTCATGATCCACCAGCCTCGGCCTCCCATAGTGCTGGGATTACAGGCGTGAGTCACCGATCGCGGCCTGGGTTTTTTTTGTTTGTTTTTTTTTTAACTTTTAGCTTCTCCACGTATTATGTCAGTGGTAGTTATTACAATAATTAAGAGGTGAGAAGAAACAAAAATCTTATCTAAAATGAGAGGAAGGAAACTGACGCTCAAAGTTTCCCCAAGGATACAATGTTAGTAGGACAATCTCAGTATCTGACTCCAGGCTTTCTTACTCTAAATCCAGGACAGTTCCACCACATCACACTGCACAGGAATTATTAGGCCACCCAGCCTGCTCTAAATTGCTTTTTTGTTTTGTTTTGTTTTTTGTTTCTAAATTGCGTTTTAAATAAAGAAACTGCTGGACACGGTGGCTCATGTATATAATCCCAGCACTTTGGGATGCCGAGGCATGCAAATCACTTGAATCTAGGAGTTCGAGACCAGCCTGGGCAACAGACAAAACCCGTCTCTACTAAAAATACAAAAATTGGCCAGGCATGGTGGCACCAGCCTATAATCCCAGCTACTTGGGAGGCTAAGGCACAAGAATCGCCTGAACCCAGGAGACAAAGGTTGCAGTGAGCTGAGATCATACCACTACCCTCCACCCTCTAGCCTGGATGACAGAGCAAGACTCTGTCACAAAAAAACAAAAAAAAAA